TGGCATCCACTGTCTTCTGCTAGTAATGGTGGGGCCCATTATCATTAGTGAATACTGGTAATTCATCAAAGTGAAACAGATAGGCTGTGGTACTGCTCAAAGCAAAGGTCTCTTGGTGGTTGAGGTGTACAAATGTTTGCATGCAGTGTCTCTAGATTGATGACAGAGTGAGGTTGAGCATCCAATCTCACTCACCAATTTCTGTAGATAACAGCCTCCTAGAAACAAGAGTTCTTGTCCAGGCTCTTGACTGTCTGAAGAGGTGTAGAGGTACAGCCTGACAGTCTGTCAGGGAGCAGCGATTTCAGAGTGGGGCTGGACAACGCAGAGAAAAACTGATGCGATCCTGGTGTGGCGATCAGCATCACAGGTATGCTAAACTGCCCTTCTGACTTCTGTGCACTGCTCTGCATAAACTTCTCATCTGCTGTGATGATCTCTGTCCTCCACCCTTCTGACCCCCTGTACACTGCTCTACTGACTCTTGTACACTCCCCTGCTTACCTCTCATCCTCTGCCCTGCTGCCCTCTGTACACTGCCCTGCTAACTAATGGCCTCTGTACACTGTTCTAGAAAACTAATGGCCTCTGTACAGTGCCCAACAAACTGCTGACCCTATCCTCTGCCTTTCTGATCCCCTGTACACTGCCCTGCTGACCTTGCATCCTTTGCCCCCCTGACATTTTTACTGCACCCCTTCAGCAGACAGGCTAGATCCGGTCCTGGTTGGAAAGGTGACCATTTAATTTCACTTTAATTGGCCCTAGTATGTATATGACACTTTGCTAAAATGTAAAGTAGTGAGTGTATAGCTTGTATAACAGTGTAAATTTGCTGTCCCCTCAAAACAACTCAACACACAGCCATTAATGTCTAAACCGCTAGCAACAAAAGTGAGTACACCCCTAAGTGAAAATGTCCAAATTGGGCCCAAAGTATCAATATTTTTGTGTGGCCACCATTATTTTCCAGAACTGCCTTAACCCTCTTGGACACGGAGTTCACCAGAGCTTGACAGGTTGCCACTGGAGTCCTCTTCCACTCCTCCATGATGACATCACGGAGCTGGGGAATGTTAGAGACCTTACGCTCCTCCACCTTCTACTTGAGAATGCTCCACAGATGCTCAATAGGGTTTAGGTCTGGAGACATGTTTGGCTAGTCCATCACCTTTACCCTCAGCTTCTTTAGCAAGGCAGTGGTCGTCTTGGAGGTGTGTTTGGGGTCATTATGTTGGAATACTGCCCTGTGGCCCAGTCTCTGAAGGGAGGGGATCATGCTTTGCTTCAGTATGTCACAGTTGGCATTCATGGTTCCCTTAATGAACTGTAGCTCCCCAGTGCCGGCAGCACTCATGTAGCCCCAGAACATGACACTCCCACCACCATACTTGACTGTAGGCAAGACACACTTGACTTTGTACTCCTCATCTGGTTGCCGCCACACATGCTTGACACCATCTGAACCAAATAAGTTTATCTTAGTCACATCAGACCAAAGGACATGGTTCCAGTAATCCATGTCCTTAGTCTGCTTGTCTTCAGCAATCTGCTTGCGGGCTCTCTTGTTCATCTTTAGAAGAGGCTTCCTTCTGGGATGAGAGCCATGCAGACCAATTTGATACAATGTGCGGCATATGGTCTGAGCACTGACAGGCTGACCCCCCCACCCCTTCAACCTCTGCAGCAATGCACTCATACGTCTATTTCCCAAAGACAACCTCTGGATATGAGGCTGAGCAAGTGCACTCAACTTCTTTGGTCGACCATGGCAAAGCCTGTTTTGAGTGGAACCAGTCTTGTTAAACCGCTGTATGATCTTGGCCACTGTGCTGCAGCTCATTTTCAGGGTCTTGGCAATCTTCTTATAGCCCAAGCCATCTTTATGTAAAGCAACAATTCTTTTTTTCAGATCCTCAGGAGAGTTCTTTGCCATGAGGTGCCATGTTGAACTTCCAGTGACCAGTATCAGAGAGTGGGAGTGATAACACCAAATTTAACACACATGCTCCCCATTCACGTCTGAGGCCTTGTAACACTAATGAGTCACAGGACACCGGAGAGGGAAAATGGCTAATTGGGCCCAATTTGGACATTTTCACTTAGGGGTGTACTCACTTTTGTTGCCAGTGGTTTAGACATTAATGGCTGTATGTTGAGTTATATTGAGGGGACAGCAAATGTACACTGTTATACAAGCTGTACACTCACTGCTTTACATTGTAGCAAAGTGTCAATTCTTCAGTGTTTGTCACATGAAAAGATATAATAAAATATTTACAAAAATGCGAGTAATGTGAGCTAATGTACGTAAAAATGCTGCATAAATTGTCAGTTCCATTTAAATACCTGTAATAAAGAAATAATAAATTATTGGCGGGCAAAAAAGCGTCCGCTTCAGAATTGCAAAAAGACACAAAAACACATCTATATAGACAATTCTACCTGTCAGCTCTCTGGGTTCTCACTGTAAGTCTCACAGAGGTGATACATTCCAATGTCTGCTGTAAAGTTCACTGCGGGAAGGCAGGTATTGCAAACATAAAAAAGGTCAAATTTAAACAATATGAGGACTGAAGACTATGGAATTCCCCAGGAAATAAAGAACCAGAGTCACAGGAACTGTAGAAACTGACTGTGTCTTGTAATGTACATCATACAAGGATACTGTATGTATGTGTGTTGTACGGGTGACAACCTACCTATGACTATCCACAAGCAAGTGACAAGACACTTATAAAAGAGACCCTGTGATCAACCTAGAAAAATGCACACAAAAATGAAGAACTTTAAATCCTTACTTTAACCAATTTTTCCGTTCTATAAATGACTTGTTATTCGCTTGCGAGGTGCCTCTGAACTTAAATTTGTTCTCTCGCACAGCCTCCTCCCTACTTGCACATTATAGCCCTCTGTTCTGTTGGGAATGTCAAGAAGCACACCGTTGCAATACCTTAAAGGATAAGTTCACCTTTTAGTCAAAAATAATAAATGCACATTTTTTTGCAGGTAAAAAAAAAAGTTAAATAAATAAATGTGAATTTATTATTTTTTGCCCAAAAGGAGCCAGGAAAGCATTTCACCAGCAATCCGTAGATTGCTGATGCCATGCAGGTCTCCTGCAGACCTGTCAGAATATCTGCTAGACGTACGGAATGTACAGCCAAGCAGATATTTTAAACAGGAGGCTTCAATGAACTACCAGGGTGCTCCACAGTGCCGTGGTAGTTCATTGAAAACTACAAGCCGACAGCGGCTATGGCTATTGGGACTTGCAGTTCATTCATTCATGGAAGTCTGTGAATGAATGACGCAGCTGTGTGGGTGGAGCTCCACACGGCCACGCTGTTTTCAAATCTGACAGATAGTACGGGGAAACTTCTACCTGTACTATCAGTCAGAGGGAGGGAGCGGGCGGGGGCTGCAACTATGGGAACATGTTACATGTTCCACCCTAAAAACGAAAAAACGAGTGGACCATGTAATGTTCCCAAAGGTGAACATATCCTTTAACAACACTTTTTTATTATTATTATTATTATTAATACAGGATGTATATAGCAACAACACTTTGCGCAGCTCTTTACAATATAAGGGAGACAGTACAATTACAATACATTTCAGTACAGAAGGAATATGAGGGCCCTGCTTCTGGAGCTTACAATCTAAAGGAAGGGGGAGGTGATAGCTGCGGGGGATGATCTGACGGAGGTGATTCAAGTACAGTCCTTAGGTGGAGGTGGGGTAGGCTTCCCTGAGTAAGTGAGTTTTCAAAGATCGCCTAAAGGCAGACAGGGTGGGGGCTGACCGGACATGCTGTGGTAGGGAGCTCCAGAGGATGGGAGAGGCTCTGGAGAAGTCCTGGAGGCGAGCGTGGGAGGTGGTGATGAGGGAGCTAGAGAGGAAGATATCATGGGAGAAGCAGAGTGGGCGATTTGGGCGGTATCTGTGGATGAGGTTGGTGATGTAGCTGGGGGCAGTGTTGTGGATGGCTTTGTAAGCTGTGGTTAGTATTTTGAATGTTATACGTTGGGTTAGTGGAAGCCAGTGGAGGGATTGGCAGAGAGGGGCAGCAGTCGCTGATCGGTGATGCCAAAGTAGTCACAAAAATACATAATCTAGTGCAGGTAGCAAATCCAGTCCCAGCACAGGAAATATGTACATACAGAGGGGCACAGCTTATAAATTTCAAGGGCAAAGCTCTCTTCTTCAGAGCTGACCAGAGCCCAGTATTCACAAACTATATATACACCAAGTGTCAATAGAAAAGCCTCCCCCTAACAAGAAAGGAGTGGCCATGAGGTTTCACAAATCACAAAAGACATTAAACATTAACCCCTGCAGGGCAACACTCCTGGAGGGGTAAATACTAAAGCAGCTCTGAAGAAGAGGGCTTCGCCCTTGAAAACGCGCAAGCTGTGCCCCTCTGGATGTACACGTTTTCTTTGCTGGGGCTGGATTTGTTAGATGCACTTGATTGTGTAATTGTGTGAGTACATTGGCACCCGTTTTATTTAATAAAGTGTGTTGTTAAGATATCACACTAGGCTGGTGCGCCTTCTTCCTTTGCTTCTAATTCAGTATTGCCTTAATGCAACACCTGTTAATGCATGCCATCATTTTGTTTTTACATACAGCATTTGTTACATTCACAAGCTTGCTAATAAATTGGCAAATAAAAGAAAATAAAAAGGGGGAGAAGAAAGGGGGAAAAGCCATGTGATGTGTGTTTGCTTATTAGCAGACAAGGAGTAGGCACACTTACGAAGGATTATAAATTACATTGAGGATCATTGAGGTATTTGCCAACTGAGGTCCCCAATTACGGTCAAGGAGTTGCGGACAACCTCTATTGTCATAAGTGATCTTAGTAGGATCTTGTTGAAGTTTTCCATGTTCACAAGGTGGGGGTAGTGGAACTCTTCCAGTTTAGGAGAATCACTTTTGCAGCCGAGAAGAGGAGAATTCTTAATAGTATCTTAAAGTGTTACTAAACCCAGGACCCAGCATTCACTATATCCATTCTCCCCGGACCCTGCATTCACTATATCCGCTCTCCCCGGACCCTGCATTCACTATATCCGCTCTCCCCGGACCCTGCATTCACTATATCCGCTCTCCCCGGACCCTGCATTCACTATATCCGCTCTCCCCGGACCCTGCATTCACTATATCCGCTCTCCCCCGGACCCTGCATTCACTATATCCGCTCTCCCCGGACCCTGCATTCACTATATCCGCTCTCCCCGGACCCTGCATTCACTATATCCGCTCTCCCCGGACCCTGCATTCACTATATCCGCTCTCCCCCGGACCCTGCATTCACTTTATCCGCTCTCCCCGGACCCTGCATTCACTTTATCCGCTCTCCCCGGACCCTGCATTCACTATATCCGCTCTCCCTGGACCCTGCATTCACTATATCCGCTCTCCCCGGACCCTGCATTCACTATATCCGCTCTCCCCCCGGACCCTGCATTCACTATATCCGCTCTCCCCGGACCCTGCATTCACTATATCCGCTCTCCCCGGACCCTGCATTCACTATATCCGCTCTACAGCAGACGACCGGAGTCCTCACTTCACCCTCCTTAAGATTTATTATCGAATACAGTACCTCCTGGTGTGTAGGATGCCTGTGTTCCCCGCCATGCTCTGTGGTTCCTCCTGCCATCTCCTATGGTATTACCGTGTCCTGTATTGACAAAGGGAGGGCAGAAGATGGAAATACAGGGGGCAGCGGGGAATGAAAGTCTGCATCAAACAGTACTAGCAAACTGGGGTCCAAAAAGGAAGCTGACCTGTAGAGATGAAATAGTAGAAGAGGAACTCTAAGCAGTGAGTTGGATACAGTTGGAGTCCCTATGCTCTAAGTTTCCGATATCACTGTTTGCATAAGCAGGTTTTGTTGCCTATTTAACAGCCATTGGTTCCTATCATCACCTGCTGGACCTCGCTTTTATATTCTGAGATTAGTTTAGGGGCTCTGGATCCTGGATTTTCATAACTGCATGGGGTTTGCATGTTCCCCATGTTTTCCCTCCAGGTGCTTCTCTTTCTCACATACAAAAAAACAAAAAAAAAAACAACAAAGAAACAGTTCTTCTTTAAAGCTCTAATGCACTACTTTTGCTGGATCAGTCACTGCATTCACTATCAGTTCCAGGACAATGGTGTAGTGGTTAGCATCTCAATCTTGCAGCACTGGGGCTACAGTCAAGTCAATTTGTATGGAGTTTGCATGTTTTCTCTGTGTTTGCATGGGTTTCCTTCTGATACTCCAGTTTCCTCCCACCCTCCAAAAACATGCTGGTAGGGTAAACGGCTCATGTCTAAATTGGCCTAAACATTTGTGTGCATGTATGTATTGTGATATGAACCTTAGATTGCAAGCTCCTGGAGGACCGGGACTGATGTGAATATATGATATGTAAAGCTCTGTGTAAATTGTTGGCACTGCATAAAAAGCTGTTATAATTAAATTAAATTGCACATAATCACCAGGCATAGTCAGCAATGATATCTGGGAGTAACGCCATTAGTAAGTGCTGACAATAATGTACAGAACACATAAAACAGAAAGAGGTTTTCAAATGCATCCAACATTATGGGCCCAGTCATACTAGCCTGGTGTGCTGCAGTGTCCTTAAAGGGAAATTCCACTTTAAAGCAGAGTTCCAAACACACTGTAAAAATAAAAAAATTAAAAAGTCAACAGCTACAGAAACTGTAGGTGCTGACTTTTAAAAAACAGACACTCGTGTGTCCCTTGATCCCACGGTGCCCCCCCCTCTGCAGCCCATTTCACCGGCCGCAGTGTGCTCCCGGTGCTGCCATCTTCAGTGTGGGAACCTGGCTGAGACAGCTTGCGGCTTCACAGCCGGGTGCCCACTGAGCATGCGTGAGTAGCGCTATGCTTTTTGAATGGTTCCGTAGTCTTCTGGGACCTGTCGTGTCCCAGAAGACTACATGGAGGGATGGGGGGGCAATTTCCACTTCAGATCACCAAGGCGATCGCAGCGGAAGTGGGAGTGGGTACCTGTCAAATTCGGGTACCCGCCCCCCCCCTTCCCGCTCCCCAAAGGTGCCAGTCTTTAAAGCAGAACTTCTCCTTTTGGGTGGAGCTCCACTTTAACACCTCCTTTCCCCATCCTCTCTGACTTTTGGAGGGTTTTTTTTTTTCCATTTTTTGGGAAGGGGGTACCTAGTTTTAGCAGGTACCCACCCCACTTCTGTTCCAAACACCTAGGTGAATGGAGTGAAAGTTCTCCTCTCTCCACCTACCTTCTGGGATACATCACAGGTCCCGGGAGGTTGCAGGGCCATTTACAAAGCGCAGCGTGGCTCGTGCATGCGCAGTGTGAAACTGGCTATGAGGTCGCAAGGAGTCACAGCCAGCTTCCCCTAGTAAACATCCCAGTTCATGACCCAGAGACGGCGGAGGACTGGCCCGGGTGAGGATAGCCCTGGATCCTTGAGCAGTTAAATGACTTTTGTTTTTTATTTGTAGCTGCTCACTTTTCATTTTTTTGTTAAGAATATCCTCTTTATCATTTGTTGTGTGAAGGTAGCCCGTTCATTGAAATGGGTTGTCTGACACAACGCACCAAAAATCACCTTTACAGCATTTTCTGCAGCACCAAGCATTAGGAAGGTGCGTTGAGGCACCATTCAGAAGGAATGGCATTGCATCGCACCATAGTATGTAACTGTATTGCAGCAGAGCAGTGGTGTGACTATGGTCCCACAGGTGGGACTTGTTTGATAGTCAAGTCGCACTCTATTGTCCACAATGGAAGCGGTCATATCGGTGCAATTTCGATTCCGTCGGTGTTGCACTGATTTTGAAAGTACTTCATGCACTCATTTTTGCAAGTTCAGGTGCAACTTAGATAGACACCTGTGCATGAAGCATGGACAATCGACTTTGAAATCGTACGCTCTCAAGTGAAGTCGCGCAATTTTAAAGTTGTATTTGGTGTGACCAAAGACTTCAATGTGTCAATAAGGCGCAGTGTGTGCCTCCAAACAACTTCAAGTCTGAGGAATGTGCGTCACAGCAGCCTACAGGAAGTTGCTCCTATCACATTGTGAGGTGCCAGGCCTAGATATGAATCTGAGGCCTGCCCACTTAGTGAACCTCAATTCACTTCCTCCTATTGGGGCAAATTAACATTGATGATTGGCTCCGTGCTATCACAAGAGGATGGGGAGAGCTCTCAGCTTTGTTTAAGCTCAAAACTAGAGCATCCCTAGTCAGAGCTTTCACGGGGTTTCCTCTCTTCTCTCCCAATGGCTGAATGAAGTGAAAGAAATTTGTTGCATTGTAGTGATCTTCTGGAAATGGCGGCATTAACAGGAATCTGTATGGGAGATGCGCAGGTTCACTTTACAGAGACCTTACTGAGTGTTTTAAGTATCCAATTCTCATTCTACATGATCAATGACCCCAATAAGGAAATCCTCAGTATCCTGGTGATAACGGTCTGGTGCACTGTTGACTACCGCCATCTTGTTCTTGACAGCAGTGGAAGTCGTGCCCATTGATGACATTACTCTGCCGAACTCCTGCGTATGTTTGATGAGATGATTTCCATGTGCTTACACAGTGAACATTGGGATGCCTGTACTTACCACTGACAATGAATGAGTGCAGACGAGCTCCTGATAGAGCTCCCGATAATAGGCTCAATGCCAGGGGTCAACAACCAGTAGATCGTGGCCAGGTGACTGGTCACAGACTGGGCTTGCTGACCCGCCATCCCAGAGCATCAGACTGCTCTGCTGAGGGACTACTTGTAAAATTGGAGCTATAATAGGGAGCAGGAGCCGCACAAGCCGATGTCTCCTCTGTAGTGCCGGCTTCTGCCCCATGCGGAGTGATATCAACTGCACTCCGCCTCTCATCCCGGCTAGAGGTCTCCATAGTGGTGCCAGCAGCAGGAAAGAAGAGGTCTTCAGCTCAGTGTGAAGCAACACACTGGACAGAATAATATATGGCTGCTTTCACATTGATGTGCTGCGGTTTAACCACACCGCGGGTGCAGTGCACCTGCAGCATTCCTGCGGGTTTAGCCATAGACATCTATTATATCCTGCGGGTTTGCTGCATTTAGCCATAGACATCTATTATATCCTGCGGGTTTGCTGCGTTTAGCCATAGACATCTATTATATCCTGTGGGTTTGCTGCGTTTAGCCATAGACATCTATTATATCCTGTGGGTTTGCTGCGTTTAGCCATAGACATCTATTATATCCTGTGGGTTTGCTGCGTTTAGCCATAGACATCTATTATATCCTGTGGGTTTGTTACAATTTCTGAAAGTGCACCAAACCGCCTGAATGCAGTTTTGTTGCACTTTCAGAAAGTGCACCACACCTGCAAGATACAATAGAAGTCTATTGCAAGGTGCAGCTAACCCAGGAAAGGCGCAGATGCACTGTGCTGCACTCAGGGTGAAGGTAAACCACAGCACATCAATGTGAAGGCAGCCTTATAGGGGGTTCAAAACAGTAAGCGTTCATTTATATTTGCAGTTTGGAGGGTGGTAAGCCCCCGTAGTTAAGACGTGATTTTACCGCCCCATTTGTACCCCCCTTTAGTTGCACTGGCCAGGGGTGTACACACGTCACAGCCACAGCACGAGTTGGTGAGTATAGCACCTACCAAGCATGACCCAGTCAAGTGAATAAGGCTGCGCTGCAAGTGCCCTGCAACCTTGTGCAGCATAGCAAACAAGGGGTTAAAGGAGGCAGCGTTGTGTTTCTTTCTCACCATCTGCTTGGACCCATATACTTGAATTGGTCGCGTTTGACAGGCGGTAGCACCCACCAAGAGCAACAGGGGGTTTAATTCCCACTGCAGCATGTGTACTGCCTTAGCAACTAAAGGGAATAGGGATTGGGGGCAGTAAAACTGCGACTCAACAGTAGGGTTCCCCCCCCCAACTTTACATGTAAATGACCCGCCCCCCAACTTTACATGTAAATGAGCCCTAAGGGTGCCTCTGTTGAATGCAACTAAAGGCTCATTCACAAGTGCAGTAGACACTGCTGCTCCTCTGAAAAGCGATCGGAGTGTGTTTAACAAGTGGTGAGGAGCTGATAGGTTACTTCCTCACCACCTGATTTATACCCATGATTGCTGTGGAATGCATGTGATTGTGACATGGTAGTACAGCAATCAAAGGTTTTATTCAGGTGTGAGGAAGTGACACTGTGGCCGGTGATCTTTGACTTCTCCCATGTTGTTCAGGTAGATCTCCACCTCTTTAGGACTGCCTACTCCTGCTCTATGCTATCAGTATAGATCAGGGGCCTCCAAACTTCCTAAACAAAAGGCCAGTTTACAGTCCTTCAATCTTTAGGGGGGCCAGACTGTGGCTAGCGGGAGTATAAAAAGTCCTGGTGTCAGTGGCAGTAAAAAACATGCCCCATGACTGGTGGCA